CCTGCAGTGCCGCCACCTTGCCCTCCAGCTCCGCCAGCTGTTGCTGCTTGGCCGCCAGGGCCCCGTTCAGGGCACCCAGACGCTCCTGAGCGGTGGCCAGGGCGGCACGCTTGGGCTCCACGACACGAATAACCCTGCCGTACGTGTCCATGGCACGAACCCACAGACACAGCGACTGGGCCGCCCTGGACTGCTTCGCCACCTGTCGCCGCCGGGGTTGGGGTGGGAGAGAGAGTTGGGGGGAAGGGGGGATTGCGGGAGGGGGGGGGTTGCGGTGTGAGTGTAATGTGTGTGTGTGTGAGTGTATATTTGTTACATATATTGCCGGGCCTGACGACGCTGGCCAGGGGGGGCTGCTGCCCAGCTGCTCCAACGAACAAGACCGCCGAAGCTACTCTTTCCCCCCCTAAGGGAAAGCGGAGGGGCGTGGGGGGGACCGCTGTCCCCTCTCCTGTTCGACACACACAGAGCCTGAACCGCCAGATACCTTGCAGGGGTTCTTACACACAGCGGTACAGGTGTATAGGTATAGGGAGGAGCAAGGAAAGGCCCACCGCCTCAAACGCTGTGCCACCAGACAGCAGCCAGCCAGCAGGCAGCAGTGTGTGAGTATGTATGTGTGTGTATGTGTATGTATGTGAGGCGGGGGAGGGGGACTGAGCGGGAGGGGGGGGAAGTCCGTGACACTGAAAAGTGATGGAAGCGGTGGAGAAATTGCTGTTCGTCTGTATGTCTGTATGCTTATGTGTGTATTTCTCTGGCACAGACCTGGTCAGGTGTGAAGGTGGGGTCGTCAATGACACGCTTGAGGTTGCGTACGACCTTGTCCGGGATGTTATCCCTGTCGTACTCCATCAGTCGCTTAATGAAGGTGGTCTCACCCAGCAGCCGCTTCGCAGTCTCCCAATCGGGTTTCTCCTGCGACACACATACATACAGATATACATACATACATACATACATACATACATACATACATACATACATACATACATACATACATACATACATACATACATACATACATACATACATACATACATACATACATACATACATACATACATACATACATACATACATACATACATACATACATACATACATACATACATACATACATACATACATACACAAAGAGGGATTCCCCCTCTTCCCCCCTCTCCCCCCCCCATACCCATACACACCCATACACACACGTGCCCACCTGCAGCAGTATGCACACGCCCTCCATGGTGGTCTGCACCAGCGGAGGGGGCTTGGTGAAGGTCTTGATCTCGATGATGTCGGTCTTGTTGAGCGCGGACAGGGAGTGCTCGGCGGCCTCAAGCTGGGGCAGGACCTCCTCCAGGTCGGCCTGGGCCTCGTCCTGTTGGAACAGGTGGGCCGGGGGGTGGGCCGGGGTGTGTGGGTGTGTGAGTGTGTGTGGGGTGTGTGGGGGTGTACTTGGGAACGTGTGAAGGATGGCGAGGGAGGGGTTTCACAGGGCTTGAACCTTGAAAGGATATTGTTATTTTTATAAATAATTAAATAAAAGCAGCAGTTACAATGTCCTAATGCGTACAGGCAGCAGGCTACGTGTGTGTGGGGGGGGAGGGGGAGGGGCAGTGTGCTCCGAACTCGTGAAGAGCAGGTTGCTAGATAAAAAAACGCCGAAGAAACATCCCCGAGCCCAGCCCGAGGCATGTTATGCGACACGATAATCCGTGTGTGTGTGTGTTTCCTCTTTTCCCCTTTACCTTTTTTTCCGCGGAAAGCACACGCTCTTTCAATCCGGTGTGTTTCGCAACCCCCTCCCCCCCCCCCCGCCATCCCCCCTCCTCCACATACACACAGACACATATATTACCTTCAGCGCCGCCAGCTTTGCTGCCTGTGCCTTGACATCCGCCTCCTCGCCCGCCACCGCTGCCCGTACCCTCTCCGCCTCGTACTGCTCGTACGTCACCTGCTCCAGCAACCGCTGCGTGGCAACTGTCTTGTCCGCCAGTACTGGCTGTAGCAGTCGCAGCTGAGTGCGCATGTCCTCCACTGTGCTGTTGGTGGTGGTGAGTTTCGCCACACCCGACAACAGCCGCTCGCGAGCCACGGCCGTCTCCTGCGGGCGGGGGGGCCGGGGGGGGGGCGGGCGGGCGATGAGACGAAAACAGGTTTACAGGCGTACAGGCGTATAGGCGTGTAGGCTTCTGTATGCTAATCGTATGTATGTGTCTATGACTGTGTGTGTGTGTGTGTGTGTGTGTGTGACTGTGTATGTGTGGTGTTTTAATTGAGCTGAGCCGCGGGATAACTACATTCATCGGGCGGAAGAAGAGGGGGGAAGAAGGAGTCCACAGTATGCAGCATCCCCCCTTTCGCCACTACCGCCCCCCCCCACCGTCCTTCCACCCCTTCTTAATCAATATTTTCCCCCACAGATTTTGATCCTATAAAAATTTCTGAATTTGCCGCTATAACCAGATGCATAATCCTTACTTCAGGTTTGCCTTTTGAATCTAGCCAAGAAGGTTCATAACGGTTCCATAAATGACAACCATTAAATGGTAGGTATAGCCCCTTAATTATTTTGTCCCTAGCTAGATTTCTTCTTTACCCCGACCTTCCTCCGCCCCCCCCCAATACACACTGCTCCCTCCTCCCCCCTGCCCAGCCCTCTTCTCCTCCCCCCCCGCCCCCCCCGCCCCCCCCGCCCCCCCCCGCCCCCCCAACCCAACAGCCCCCTACCCCACCTGGCGCCTAGCTGCCAACAGGGAGATGTACAAGTGGATGAGGTCGATGTAGGAGCGGGGGGTCACGTAGTACCTGCAGCAACACCAACATGTGCGATGCGTCTGTCTGTCTGTCCATCTGTCTGTCCATCTGTCTGTCTGTCTGTCTGTACAAAATCATGACGCACGCCAGCATAGCCTCTTCC